TTCCATTTCAAAGCTTCCAAACATTGTGTTTGTTTTCTTTTTGCTAGAGCGATAACAGTACAAATATATTTATTTGCCAATCGATCCATCGACATCAGCATTACAAAAGACACGTTATCTAATTGAAAAACGATCAATGGATTTTACTTAAATATATTTTTTTTCTCACTCCCTATTTTGTATGTCTATAAATAAAGCACGCAAACACAACAAAGTTTTGCATGAAAATAATTTTATTTTGTTTCTTTTACTCCGTCATTCGAAATGATCAGCCTTGACCTTTGGTTTATTCCCGATGGTGCCATGAGGAACTGTGTTTTCGATAAAAATGTATTAAGTGACTCATCTCAAGGGAAATTTGTTGAGTTTATGTTAATTCAGATGGTCTGCTTTAGTTACTTGTAGAATCAAAATAAGTGAAAATTACAGCAATTTGACAAAATTGGCAGTTCTTCTACTTAAGCAATAATTGATTTGAAAATCACAATAATCTCTTTATGTCATCAGCATTTACTGCAAATTTCTTATTCTTAAATATATTTATTATATCATCAAGATTTTCTTTTTTAAGCAATCAATACAAGTTATGAACTTTTTATGTTATATTTATGAACTTTTACGAGACATGTTTGACAATCACTATTTAACATAATAATCATAAATAGTCACGAAATTCAGCAATCATAATTATGAGTTGATATAAAAGTTGATCATGTTTAATTTGAATTCTGAAGCTTTTTATCTTTTTTTATTATGAAAAAATTTACCCTACACATGCGGTTTCGAGGGCTATTCTAGATACTTTATTTTTGCTTAGATTGGAATGCATCGAAATTAGTCTCAGTTGTACTTCAACAAACTCTTTAAACTTAGAAATGATCTCAATCTCAATTTTACAAGTAATTGCCTTGTATGGCTCGGAAACCTGGATTTCAATATAAGCGGATGAAGAAGCACTTGGTGTCTGTGAAAGGCGAATGCTGCGAGCGATTTATGTTCCTGTGAAGGAAGGGGAAAAGTATCGAAGTCGACATAATGACAAGCTATATCAATTATTTCAGGAAGCTGATATTGCTTCAATTCAAGTGCAAATCACTTGAAATGTGCTGGACATGTGTTCAGAAGATGGTCCAGTTTTAAAAGTGATAGTAGCAGACTTTATTGATGGAGATAAAGAGATCACGAGAAAGACCGAAGAACTCGTGGATCGGATGTGATGAAAAAGACGCTAGAGCCCTTAATATCCCTAATTGGAAGAAAATTTCAGAAGGATAGAGCTGTCTTCAGACGATCTCTAAGCGCAGAAATGGGCTCACGTGCGCCCCAGCCAAGGAAATAAGTATACTTAAAAAATAACCACACTCTTTTGTAAAAACGAGTTAAAGTTCTTGTCATTCTGACAATAAATTTTCAACTTTTTTATAATTTCTCAAAGTCAAAGTTGCTGACCTCATCCTCATGATATATTTTTAGCATATGTAAAATATAAGTCTGCAAGAATTTAAAGCAAGTTTTTAAAGAAGTCATTAAAAGATTTTGTAGTTTTGAATGTGGCGGTGCACTATGGGCCAGAAATCGAAAACTTTTCCGAAAATTATTTTTTTGGTCTAAATGATAGTTCTTTCATTCCCATTTATGAAAATACTTACAAAAGTGGCCAATTCAGCCAAAGTTCCGAGATATGGCTTTTCAAAGTTTTGATTAAGATCATTTTCTCGCCCCACAAAAATTGTCACTACTTTTCATTGGATTGATGAAACACTTTCAATTTTTTTTTATTTTGTAGCTTTAAATAAGAGCTTTATTTTAGGATAGTAAACATTTAAGTATGCATCTTGTAACTTTATGAATTTTAAGGTTTTTTCAAAAAAGCACGTGTTCATTGTGATTACGTTTGTCTAGGACTTCACTCTTAACATAAATGATGCTGAATCTTTTTTTTTATTGTAGATATAAACAAGATCTACAACTTTTATGAAGATACTATAAAGTTTTAGTGGAGTTTTGCTGATGAAATTAAGTCTTTTCTTCAAAAAAACTGCAATTTTTTGACATAAATTCCCATAACTTTTCAGGATAGCCCAAAGGAGTGGAATTTTTTGACATGCTTTGAAAGCTCTTTGGATGTACTATCAGAATATACAGTCAACTTGAGTTCGGTTACTGAGACAATCTCGAGCAATTTGACTTTGAAGTGTGACCAAAAAAATATTTCAAAACAAAAAAATTGAAAATAAATTTTGTACGTTTTTCAAAATTTTAGTTTTTTGCTTTAGAACAATAGATCTCATCAAGGCGCACATTTTGAGTATAAATATGTCATAGTTTGAACAATTTTTTTACTCAAATTTCAACAAAATCATTTTTATACATTTTTTCAACAAATTTTACTTATTTTTCAATTATTTTAAATCAAAACTTATTTTAAATCTTCTGATTTTGATATTTTTTGAAATTTCTATGTTTTTATGTTAAAATGTCACTCGTAGAGCAACAATTCATAATTTATTTTTTTACTTTAAGGTAATTTTTTTATAATTTTTTGCAAATTACACTCATTTTTCTTATCTTTTTTTATCAAATTTTATTTTATAATAATTCTAAATATTGAAATTTAATGTAATATGCATAAAAATACTCTTAAATATTTAAAGATCATATTTTATACAATTAACGTATGAATAAAGCTGGAATGAGCAAAGCTTTGATATGTTCCTTTAATCTGAAGGTAATTTTCCTTTCGATTCAGAACATATAAGCATCCAATCAACTATTTTTAATAAATTTCGGTATAAATACTTATTTTCATGCAATTGTAAAGCATAAACTATCACCTGAAACTCGTTTTTTGCTGACCCATGCCCCTATTTCAAAGATGTCTTATTTTATTGCCTTCCAGGTCCGGAAGTTGAAGGCTCAATATTCATAATCTGACTGGACTCATTAATGGTGACTAGAATTTACCAGTATGAAATATATTAAGTATATATACAAAATTTTGTAAAGTTTGCATCGTTTCGAAATTTATCAAAACAAAATGATGGTTTTTGAATATATTTTTGTCTATATATAAGCATTTAAGTGCTTCGCTGGTCAAATAAGTAACGCGCTTGGCTCAAATTGGGGATGGTAACTTGAAGGTCGTCGGTTCCAATCCAGCCATTTCCAAATTTGTTCTTTTTCAACGAGATCAAGCCATGAGATATTTGGCAACGTTGGATTAAGGAACGGATGAGGAACTTGAAGTGTAGCGGGAGAAATAGAGAGCTACAAGATTACCTTATAATGATAAATTGTCAGAACGGATCTGAAATGTATCACGTTGCGCTCACAGATCAGTAATAAAGTATATGCAAAGACAAAAATTGGAAAAATCAATGAAATATGGTAAAAAAAACTAAAAGGAACCATTCAACATTAGATAAAATTGTCACAATGTATTTGATAGATTGGAAAAAGGTTGATAGCGTTTTCCTTTTTAAAAACTTTTTTCATTATTGGTCCTTAATTTTAATAATTCGTGGTGATAGTTTATGCTTTACAATTGCATGAAAATAAGTATTTATACCGAAATTTATTAAAAATAGTTGATTGGATGCTTATATGTTCTGAATCGAAAGGAAAATTACCTTCAGATTAAAGGAACATATCAAAGCTTTGCTCATTCCAGCTTTATTCATACGTTAATTGTATAAAATATGATCTTTAAATATTTAAGAGTATTTTTATGCATATTACATTAAATTTCAATATTTAGAATTATTATAAAATAAAATTTGATAAAAAAAGATAAGAAAAATGAGTGTAATTTGCAAAAAATTATAAAAAAATTACCTTAAAGTAAAAAAAAAATTATGAATTGTTGCTCTACGAGTGACATTTTAACATAAAAACATAGAAATTTCAAAAAATATCAAAATCAGAAGATTTAAAATAAGTTTTGATTTAAAATAATTGAAAAATAAGTAAAATTTGTTGAAAAAATGTATAAAAATGATTTTGTTGAAATTTGAGTAAAAAAATTGTTCAAACTATGACATATTTATACTCAAAATGTGCGCCTTGATGAGATCTATTGTTCTAAAGCAAAAAACTAAAATTTTGAAAAACGTACAAAATTTATTTTCAATTTTTTTGTTTTGAAATATTTTTTTGGTCACACTTCAAAGTCAAATTGCTCGAGATTGTCTCAGTAACCAAACTCAAGTTGACTGTATATTCTGATAGTACATCCAAAGAGCTTTCAAAGCATGTAAAAAAATTCCACTCCTTTGGGCTATCCTGAAAAGTTATGGGAATTTATGTCAAAAAATTGCAGTTTTTTTGAAGAAAAGACTTAATTTCATCAGCAAAACTCCACTAAAACTTTATAGTATCTTCATAAAAGTTGTAGATCTTGTTTATATCTACAATAAAAAAAAAGATTCAGCATCATTTATGTTAAGAGTGAAGTCCTAGACAAACGTAATCACAATGAACACGTGCTTTTTTGAAAAAACCTTAAAATTCATAAAGTTACAAGATGCATACTTAAATGTTTACTATCCTAAAATAAAGCTCTTATTTAAAGCTACAAAATAAAAAAAAATTGAAAGTGTTTCATCAATCCAATGAAAAGTAGTGACAATTTTTGTGGGGCGAGAAAATGATCTTAATCAAAACTTTGAAAAGCCATATCTCGGAACTTTGGCTGAATTGGCCACTTTTGGAAGTATTTTCATAAATGGGAATGAAAGAACTATCATTTAGACCAAAAAAATAATTTTCGGAAAAGTTTTCGATTTCTGGCCCATAGTGCGGTGGCTTTTTAAAACAAATTCTTGCTCACTTATTCATTAGCAATTATTAAGTTTTGTTTTCTTATTCCTCAATTTGCCAGAGAGAGCTCGCTAAACTAAGCTATCAGTTGAATATAGTCAATTGAATAAGTCTGATGTTTTATAAGATATTGCAATAAACTTATTGGTATCAAATAAAGCTCCTGTAGAATATCAGCAAAAATGGATAATTCTCTGTCGTATTTCGACGATTTTACAAAAATTCCATTTTCTTTAATGGATATCCTCCAACTAGAAGTACAAAACACTTCAAAAGTGAACCAAACTTTAATGCAAAGAACACAAATCACATTCAAGAAAATCTACTACTGGGCATTAGTAATCAGCATGATATTTTCCATCACACTAAGTGCAAAGGCTTTAATATTTTGTGACCCATATGACATGCAAAAATTCACGCTAGACATCAATTTGTCAATATCTATGACAACGGTTATGGTGAAGGCAATTATGCTTTATTCCAATGCAAAAAATATTATTGAAATTGCAGACGATCTCAAACGAGGTTATACGAATCAGGAACAAGTCAGATATGGCATAAAAAACTACACAAATAAAGTCAGAACATTCAACAAAATCTATTCAGGATTTTGGGCAACGCCGTTTTTAATTCAGTTCACATTAGTGCTTGTGATTCTTGTTGTGACTGGACAGAAGACTTTTCCATTTTTCATCGAGTTTCCGGACTTTTTTCATCCACAAAATAATTTTGTATATCCAATTTTGTATATTTTTGTGGTTTGGTCTTTGACGTCTCCAGCTATGGTCATGGTGTCTTTTGACTTGTCATTCTTTAATATTTTAACAGCAATTTCCATGGAATTTGATATTCTCACAGAAGACGCGAGAAACTTAAAGAAGTTATTAAAATCACAAATTTTCAATCATCTACAAATGATTATCGACCGACAGAATCGACTATTTGAAGTTACATCAAAACTTGAAGAATCTTTTACATTCTCAAATTTATATTATTTTCTTGTGGCTTCGATTATCATTTGCTTGTTTGCCTTCATCGTATCAACATCGAATGACATAACTCAAGTTATACTTATGGGAAGTATGTGTGTGTCCACAATTTATCAGCTATATCTACAATGTAGCTATGGTCAACTTTTGACAGACGCTAGTGCTGGATTTATGGATGGAATCTACGATTGTGGATGGGAAGATTTTGAGGACATAACGTTGAGAAAAATGATGATATTCATTATGATGAGGACAAGAAAGCCAGCAACTGTGACTTATATGAAGTTTGGGAATTTGACTAAGCAGTTATTCACAAGTGTAAGTTTGTTTGCTTAACTGTTTAAATTAATGGATTTATCTTACAGAGAACCTTTAATTGATTTAATTTTTACAGGCAATATGGCGAGCATACTCATATTTCACATTATGTCAACAGATTTATTCTAAAGTTTAAGAATTTGAAGAATATTCGATTATTTTATAACATGTGCAGCGAAGTATGAACCATCGGGAGGTGAAGAGGGTATCGACAGAAATTTAAGAAAGGTTAGGAATTTTTTCTCAACAAACACTAGCGAATTGAATAAAAAACTTACTATCGAGGTAGAAAACATTTCTGGTGTCAATTAAAAATATATTTTTGATCACTTTTGACGATAAAATTCCAATTCCTGGAAATTCAGAGCTCAAAGTCGGAGAAAAAGTTTCCTAAGAACCTTGACATAGTTTAAGAATGTAAATTGTACCAAAAATTATCATTTAAACTTCAGATACACTTCAGCAGGCTGGACAGAAAAGAGTGCAATAAATTCCACTTTTAATTACTAAAGTCATCATAAAATCAACATCACGATAGCCCATAAAAGATTGTCAATCATAAATTCATATAAGCATGCATGCATGCAAAGGACAGAAAAAAGTCATTAAAATGCCAACATCCTGATAATTGGATATGCATAGCTTTGAGCTGATAAATTTTTAAAGACAATTTTGACGAAAAACTGGAGCAAAAGTTAATTTTTGGTCAAAACTGCATCCAGATTGCAATTAAAGTGCAACAAAATTTGATTTTTAAGAGAAAGAATACCTGGATTGGATGTATTGATAACGACGCTAAAGTCCTTAATATCCCGAACTGGCAGAAGGTCTCCAAGGATAGAGCTGTCTTTAGACGATCTCTGAACGCGTCAAGGGGCCCACGTGCACCCCAGCCAAGGAAGGAAGTAAGTTTTATGAGAAATGAAGTTAGGGGAGGAAGAAACAGAGATTTCATGTTCAAAAATCCAAGTATTAAAAAAAGAACCAGTTGTGTACGATCTTAATGACAAAAAAATCTATTTACATAGTCTAGTAAACTCACTTACTTCGCTTGCCTTACAGATCAACTGTGATCCATAGCCTTCCGTATCTGGCACCTGAAGCTGGTCAGTAAACTCACTTTTCAAGATAAACTCTCAATTAAATGCCTTAAAATCGATATTCTCTATTTTGTCACCATAAATTTTAGCTATCAAATATCTCATTCCAAATCATCAACAAAACCCATCAACTCACTTATAAATTACACTTCATTTGAGCTCTAGTCTTTCATTAATTGTAGAATATTTCAATGTGAACCAAACTAAAATAAAAATTGTCATATGAGCTAATGTGCTCGAGTCAACAAAGTAGATATCAAAAATAAAGTGTATGTGGGCATCCGCACACGATAAACTGAATTGAATCGTTCTTTATTGACTTTGATCGATGAAATGAGGGGAAGTTAATAATTGAGAAATTGTTTTGGGTTCGTTGGAAAATTAAGTCCAATTTTTGAAGGTAGGAAGGGGGCCTCGTGATTTTTAGCATTGCATCTTGAGCCACGTTTCACATCTACGTGATTATACAGAATCTTAAGACAAGTGATGTCTGAAAATTGGATTTTCGGGACGTCGCTTAAGCATGATCCCCAGTTTATTTTTGTGAATATTTTTATTTATGTCATGATGCGCTCAAATCGTCATTCCTGCTCTCAATTTCTCTTTAAGCACATTTTGATTGTTTTATTTTTTTCTGCTCTTACATTCTGTATAGTCTATAGTCTGAGTCTCTAAACTATTTGGCATGTGAACATTATTTCTAAAATATCGTGTCGCAATATTTCATAAATAATGTAACATGTTGAATTTTTTTATGATTTATATCTTTTTTGAAATAAAAAGGGTGACACACAATAAAAACAATAATCATTTCCTTTCTTCCATTTATTGATTTTATTCCTGAAATGAGTTCATTATACCGGCAATTTTTCATTCGTACTGTAAACAGCTGTTGTTGATGTGCATGCAGATAATTGCTGATTTTCAACTGCTGATATAGATTGTTTTGAATTATTTATTAAGTGAGCAGGATCGTCGTTAAGCAAAAGATTTTATGGTAAACATTGTCATTTGTTGAATGGGCGAGGGTCGGCTTTTATATAATAAGGAGTTTATAATTTATTAAAAGATGTGATTGTTGGGGTCTAAGTGGTTGATTTTGGAGGTATCAAGTAATTCTAAAAACCTTAAAAGAAGGCATATGAGTAAAATTGAGGTTTAAATTGTCAAACTAATGCTAAAGTGTTAATATTTCACTACATTTGCCTGTCAAGGTGCCTTGCAAGCCATGGTAATCGATGAGAGCCACGTGGATAAATAAATCTATTGTCAGCTTGACAATTTAGACTTCATTGTCACTAGAGACAGTGAAATGTATTCCTAAATCACTAATTTTCAGATATCCGTCTAGCTTGGAGTAGATTTCATAAGCAGAGATCGTCAAGATGATCTAACCCTCCTCGCTTCTCACTAGCAATGAATTTGGCATGATTTACAGTTTAGACCTCCTCGAGAGCTCAAAGCATATCCTTTTAAAATTCATATCCATCATATTATCGAATATCATAAAAACACAGCTAAACCTCAAATTACTTCTTACTAAAATCACATCCATAATTTCATTCCTCAAATTTTTTTTATTAACATCACATGCAAACTTGTCCAAAGCCATAAAAGTTTATATTAAAAAACATAAACAACAATTTATTCTCGTTTAGTTGAATAAATAGTAAAACTGGAAATAATTTAAAAACTTTGTTTTTCTTATTCTGTTGACTTCTTTTTAAACTTCATTAGTTTCTTCTTCTTTTACCTTGTGTGACAATTCTTTCGTTTTTATTGTGTAGATTATTACCCTTGTGGATGTAATTTTGTAGATTTTGAACTACTTTTGAAAACTTTGATATGAAATTTGTGGGTTGGGGGGCTTGATTATGGCATTAAAACAGTGTTTCTCAAACTATTTTGGGCCACCGCACATTATTTTGCAAAAATGTATGAAATGAAGTCACAAAACATGAAAAAAGTATTGCCAATTTTAGCAATCAAATTTTTCGCGGCACACAGTTTGAGAACCACTGCATTACACTGCTATATAAAGCAACGAGTTATTTAGGGGGTATGGAAGCTCCATGGATAATTTATAATACTTTGAACAAAACTTAACTTTTGTTTGGGGGGGGGGGGGGGGGTAGAAAAGTAATTTAAAGCTCAAATAATTGCTGGTCGGGATAATATTCTATTAATTTTCTAGAGAGCACCTTGAAATACAAGCATGTGCATTGATATTTACATCTTGCCATTAATAATTGAATTGTTTACCTTTTGTTATAACCACTTCGGGTACAAGGTCAGAACTAATTGTTTTCTTCAAACTTTGGGCTGACCCCATGTTAATTTAAAGTATTAAATGGAAAGTTAGGACTTCTTTATAATATATTTTTTGAAAATCTCTCAGAAACTCTGCCTGAAAGAAGAATTTAAATATTAAAATCTTCACAATGAAGATTATGACATGGTATTTATGTGTATAAGCCTTAAACAAAAAATAGCATAAAGTGTAGTTTCAGAAATGGATGTTGTTCAATAAATCCTTTCATTTCCTTTAAAAATCAGAATGTATTAGAATTTAGTTCAAATTCAGATGTGGAGCCAAAGATTTTTCGAGATAATTTTTCTCATTTAAAGAGATAATCGAACAGAATCCCCTTGCAACTTCCATGATGCTAGCAACTCTATATGCACCTACCCCTAATCGTAAATCTACTCCCAACCCCTAATGTATGAATATACTAGGGCAGTGGTAATCAACCTATGTGTCGCGACACACCAGTGTGAAGCGAGAATTTTCTGTTATTTCCACTAAGCGAATGGAGTATGCGGTTTCGGTCATGGCTTAACACCAAGCAGTACCGTGACACAAAAAGGTTGGATACTACTGCATTTGGTAATGCAAACGATAAGAGGAAGTGTAGGTTCAAGTGAAGGCATACGTTTGTATTGAAACACTAGCCCCAGAAATCAACTATAAATCTACCCAAAATTCCTCGCAAGGATCCCTACATTCCTCCTTAGTAACTTAATGACATACAAAAGAATGAGCACATTAAATAACAACACAACGACTAGTATCCTCACTCATTCACTCGCAGGAAAATAAAATAAAAAAAAATATTATAAGTGAGGAAAAATATTGGAATTATCACTGAATATTGATCAAACATTTTTTGCGGTATAGTTTTAAAAATAATAAACAAATTTTAAGCAACATTTTATGTACTTGAACATGATCATCCATAACAATTATTCTGTTACTATATCCAACCCATCAATGATGTGAGAAGCAAAAAGGCAAACGCAAATGAATGAAAGGAAAATTCAGAATTTTATGTAAGCTCACATGTGAAATTTAGTCATAAATTCAATGAATGGCAGGTATTATGGTATTACAACTGGCACGTGCTAAGGAGAAAGAAAATGTTGAGCATTTTTATGGAAATGAAAATGTAAATTGATGGATATTACTAGATAACGAATTGATTCTTATTCTATATATATAAGAAGAAGGTTCTACCTTGTCACGGAATTTCAGTTGCGGGGAATTAAAGATTGGTGCTGATTGATAAGTTTTTTAGATTGAAAATTAAAATGTCGTTTTTGATTTTATTGAGTATTGATTTGCTGTAAATGATGGGGGAATTAATGGAATTCGATTGAATTGTTCATTCAATAACAGCTTGGTTATTGCACATAAATGGCACTAGTGATTGCATGAAAACTATAATTTGTAATTTTTACTGCTTATTTGGTTGGATTATGGAATATAAGTCTGGAAATTAATGTTTGATTTCATTTGAATTGGATCCGAACTCTAGAAGAAGGTTTATATGCTCACCTTACACCTAATTTTAGACAATACTCATCATAGCAACAAAATAACACTAATCCATTCAAATAAATATTAAATCACCAGACATAAAACTCATAAAAATTCAATAGATGCAAAACAAACACACAACATAACGTCCATAAATAAATTTCACAAAAAAAATTCAATTGAGCTAATTTATGCTTTCCCCTAATTCAATCTCTGGCAACCTTCACATATAAATAAATGAAAAATTTTTTTATGTTCTCATTTCATCTAATTTTCTCTTCGTGATATTCATCTTTTATTGCAATAATAAGAAAGTTCGCAATTTCAGCATTCATTCAAAAAATAATAAAAAAAAGATTCTTTTTTTTTTGCGAAACCACCTCAGAGTCAACAGTAAGAAAATGTATTGAAAATGGGGTCGTTTTGCAAATGGCGTTCACCATAAGATGAAGTATACTCGGGTATCTTAGGCTAGAAAAAGTTAAAACTAAGAATTAAATAGTTCTTTTAAAATATAAAATCTATTTTATCGGGTCTAAAGATGTTGAGCATCGCTTTAAAACTGTTTTACTATGATTCTGCCACTTTTTTGATCAACTTCTATTTTATAAAATTCCAAAATACTCAATATTTAATGAAATATAATAAAAATCTTTTTCGAAGTGGAGAAGTCCGCCATTTTGTTTCTAAACTGAATATAATACAAAGTTTGAATCTTTTGTTGCCGTTAAATGTTATATTGAATTATTTATCGATTTTATGAGGGTTTCCTTTGAAATTTTGAACAAATTTTATGAACCTATAGATTTAATGATCATTAGGGAATGAATCTATGATCCTTGCTTCTTAATACCCTTAAACAAAGCTCTAGGGTTGACTTTAATCTAGTTAAACCATTTAGTTTGAAGGCTTGGAACTAAATCCTCTTCCATCTATTAAAAATTAGACCTCATTTATCAACAGACCCCGAGAAAAAAAGAACAAATTTTTCTCATTTTCACGTTTTTGTATGTAAATAAATAGATACACGCTCCCAATTGAAATAAAAGTGTAACGAATTTTCGTTGACCGCGGACGATAATGATGACTAATATTAGAATCGAGAAAAAATATTTTTAAAAATCGTCTTCTGACGATCGGCGTGAGAGATTATAATTATAAATATATATATATCGCTGTTGTTTGCGAAAAAAGAAGAGAAATGTAAATATAGAAAATAAATAAGTGACTTTCCTTCAAAGTAATTGAACCATTTGACATTTTGTGTTGTTATGTTGTTGTTTTTGGGATGTTAATAGGTTTCCGTCGTAGTGTGTGACTTGGAAAAATTAATAAATTCATCATTGAAATTCAATGAGGGAAGGAAATGAAGTTTATATGTAAATACAAAAAGCTTAGAGGTAGGGTCGGAAACTTAACAAATATAATGAATTTCCTCAAATTGAATTTCAAAGATTTTTCTAGTAGGAAAATTTATTATTAAGAAATATCCACAAACCTGGAAAGTTTTTCGGTCTTGGACAGCTCTGAGCTCTTGCTTTACGTTGATAAGAATCTTCAAATGACGACGCCATATTTTTATCTCACGGAGATGCAAAAAAAACTTTCAGGACTTTTTTCCTCTCAATTATTTAAATTTTATTTTTTAAACTTTGAGCTTTTTGCGCCTCAATATTCACTTCACAGTCTATCTTTAATGTCAATAAAATATTTCTCTTATCACTCTGTGATAAAATAAATTTTTAATGCACAACAATCCCTTCCGATGCTGCACGCTGCTTAATTTTTCACACCGAACTAATTTTCGCTTTGCAAAAATAAGAAACTTTTTTTCCTACTGTTATCGCCAGCACACATAGAGTATATGTGATGTGTGAGAGAGGAAATGAGATGAAAGCAACTGTTGCGCAACTGTTGTGCGATATCAACTGTTGCACTGTTGACATGTGCCATTGAATGCTGTTTACTCGAGTGAGAGAGAGAGAGAATTTTTTTATGCACAGCTTTTGTGACATTTCTATGACGACCGATGGTGATGGTAAAGGCTGTAAAGTTAACGTTTGAATCAAAATAAATAAAAAAAGTTTCATAACATTTTTCATCAATTTTTTATCTTGATTTATTCCTTCATCTAGAATAATATATAACATCAAATGTCTCATTTATTCATCCTCAATTTTCTTCATTTGTCTTATTTTTATTTACTATCTCTTTTATGTCATTTTTAAAATTTGTAAATTATCAACCATTTTTATCGCGATTTGGATTTTTTTTAATTTATTTTTTAAATATATCATTTTATTCTTTGTTGCTCATTCATTTCATCAAGTTTATTCAGCAAAATCATACCAGTTTCGATGATATTGAGAGCTTTTATGATGATGGATTGTCTTTTTAGACTTCAGTTATTTTCTATCGTCTAATGGAGAACATTTGTGAGTATTGTATGGAGTATATGACAAGTAGGGACTGTAAAATACAATTATCATAGCTCAAAGGCGACAGGACTATGTAGCCCGAATGGCACAAGTCGGATGATCGAAAAGTAATCTAGCGCCAAGCTTGCAACACTCTTGCATGGTGCTAGCTTGGATTTAAATCCAGCACTATGCCAGAGTCACACCGGCTTGGTGCGGGATTTCTGATCGATTAATCGACTTTTGCCATTTGGGTAAACTCGATTTTGAGCGCTAGCAATTCATTTAGAAACTAGACTCAATTAGGAATCGAACACACATCAACAGAAGAGAAATAGTGTAACATATCTAGTCTGTAGACTAACATCACGACTACAAAAACCTGTTTCTCTTACTGACAAAATTTCATACACCTTATTTCATAAGCCTTGATACACAAGCCTCTACTCAGCCACAAACTTAAATTTTTTAAAAAAATCAAAGAAAAAATATTACAGAATTATTATTGTACTTGAATTTGGGGTTTTAGTTGGGTTTTTTTTTTGGGGGGGGGGGGGGGGAGTATTCATGAGTTAAACTCAATTTTTTTTATCACAAATTTTTATTTTGCATTCAATTTAATGCAAAGGGCTCGTTTATTATCTTTTGATTTATTTAATCTTCTAAAGTAGTGTTTTCCAAACTTTTTGAGCCACGGCACATATTAGGGGTAAACCATGACCAATGTCGCTCACAGCATGTGGCACGCGTCATTCCCAAAAAAATTCTAGGGCACACATTTTGGACAACACTGTTTTAAAGGGAATGAAAATTTTGAAACATTAAATTTGTCAATTCATAAAAAATAAAGGCTGATTAAACTCTACAGATTCAACTGCTCGCTTCAGCACATCTTTCAGAGTTCATTTTCTAAACCAACCCAAGAAGGGGTACACAATCAACTTGCTTCTACGTTCTTTATCCTTTTTGTTACTGAAAAGCAGGAGTGCTTCGTGGAGCATAGTTTTAGAATCACTGCTTTAAACCAAATCAATTTTTAAACTTCATAGTCAAGACTCCATTTTTACATCTTTTTTAACATAATTTCTTCATCAAAATTATAAAAATTGCTGTCTTCGTGACACCATCACCGATAGCTCCCAGCCTAAAGCTCTCAATCATCATCAAGGTATGATTTATTCTTTCAAAAAATTCAGCCACAAATCAACCAGTTAAAGCTGCTATTTTCTCTATTATTATTATCTACATACATTCAAAAAATCTTTTTTTTTTGTGTATTTTTTAAACTTTTCTTAATAAGTTTTCTTTTTTGTCTGTTTTTGTTTCAACTTTTTATTTTCTCATGTTTTATTGATGGGATCCTTTCGATTTTTTTCTTATTTATTGTTATAGTTTCAATACTTCTTGTTCCATGGAGTGGAATTTGGATTGGATTTGTTGTTTATGGGGGGTTTCGAATTAAAGGAGGACTTACAGATTTAATTAGGATTTTGGATCTTATAAGGGTGACATTAGGGAACACTGCTGGGTAAATCACTAAGAGTTTTCTTTAGATATACTCTAATTGAGAAGAATAGAGGAGTTACTTGGGCCAAAAATCTAGTCCATTATATGTAAAGCCGCAGGGGCTGGTCTTAAGTGCTACTCGGAATGTCTATCCTAGTCATAATCAATGTTTGTTTGAATCCAATGTCAAATTCTAGGATAGGTAGCTTCAGTAGCCTCGTGAACAAATGGTGACCCTTTAATGGTATATTTTCAAGTTTCTCATTTGTTCAAGGTTTTTTGGTTAAAAAATTTCTAGTTAACCCTTCTGTAAGACCCTTCAAAATCTGATCGGATTTCTATTCGATTAACCGACTTATGCTATTTGGATAGCTCCATGGAATTCAAAAGTATTTGTCTTTGAAATTTTTATATCATAAAAGGACTGGCAATAATTATTTTTTGGGGATATTTAAAAAATTTAAAAGATTTTCGTCAAAATTTCAAATTTCTCTAACCTCAAAAATTCCACTTTTTTTCAATCCTAACCTCAAAAAAATCACAAATATCCCCAAAAAAAACTCATCCAAGTTACATAATATCTTTGTCTTTTGTAAATTGTTTTACTGTAAATTGTCATTTAAAAATGTTTTTTTTTTGCATGAAATTCTTTAAAATTAGAACTTAAAAAAAGAGTTGATTTGAAATTCTTCATCATTTTATGCGTTCATATTGTGTGTGTGTATGTGTAATGTTTTGAATGTGTTGATGTATCATATTTACTAAATTTTTAATGTATGCAATATGATTTATTTTTTTTCATTGATTTTACCCGTGACACAAAGTGGATCTCATAAATTTACGATCGACATTTTATCGTTGAATTTTCCCAAAGAGATTTGGAATTGATTTGACTTTTTTCTTTGATCCGTTTAAGCACTCCTTATAAATATCAGATCTTAAATATCGTGGATAGCTGTCATTCTTCATTAATAAATAAATATGCTCGGCGGCAACATCAAAACAGAAGAAACTCGGTCCGTTTGTGAGTGCAGCTTTTGCTAATTCAACTGATTTGGAATCAACATTGACTGGACATGGTGAGTCTTGTGCTAAAAATTCATCAAATATCTTCTTTGCCGCCTCCTTCACTTGTGATTGTGGCAATGATTTTAGGTTCTGTATCGCCTCCCAAAATCTACAATAGAGTAAGTGATATAAATTGAGGAGGATGGAACATTTATGAGGAAAACTTACTTCAAATTTTCTCCGCTAAACTCCTTATCCAAAAACTTTGCAAACTATTTGTTGTGTGAGAAAATGAAATGAGATTAAGTGTGAATGGAATATTAAAATTAAAAATTTAAAAGGTAGAAATATTGTGAGAGAAGCAGAACTTAGTGAGATAACTTATAGAAGTTTCAGATTTTTCAGTTGATTTCCTAGATTTTTACTATTGTGTCATAGCCAAGTACTTAACCAAACGTATGCAAAACTGCCAGTGTAATAGCAAAGGCTCTTTGGTCAAACCGTAAGCTATGTATAGCAACTTGTGAGGACGTGGGTTCGATTCCTAAATCAAGACTTCAAATCCAAATTACTGTCAGAATAAATACAGCTGACATTTACTCTTGTCATCATGCAAAGTTGCCTTTCTCACAAATCACCTAGCCGTATTAATCTTACCTGCTCTCTTCCCGCTGGATCCTTCAGCAACTCACGTAAGCTAAAGCCCCAACGTTTAACTCGTTTCAACGAAATCTCTTTGCTGTAATAAATTATTCATAAATAAATAATTAAGTTCACAAACTGTAAAATTACAAATCAACTTACTTCATTTCCCAGAACTCTGTGCTGTCTGTCGTCCATGGATTTGGATATTCAGGTGGCGATAAGAATGGATCATATTCTCGAAATTGTTCGAAGTATGAAATGTAACTGGAAATTTGATAATGAGGAATGGTAAGTGAATATTGAAGAATTTTAGGTGGATAGACAATGACACTTTGGAAGTTGATTCCAACAATATTTTAGCTTAAAAAGGAGATTGAACCACAATACATGCATGAACAATTCCTCAAAGCTTTAAACAACTGAATCACACTTCCCAGAAGTATCTGAGCCTCAATCCTAAAATAACTTACGATTCAGCAACTTTGGAAATTTTGATCGTCCGACGTTCAAGTTTCAATTTCAGCATTTGAACCTAAAATTAGAATAGAATGTCAAGGGTTTAGTTTAATGATGACAAAATTACTTTTTATGTGCGTTAACAAAACATTAAAAAGGAACTTCAAGGCAGAATGAATAAATTAAAATTTCATGTGCTATGCCGGTTGTGTGGGGCGAAATATCATGTAGAGAAATGGCATGTTTATCATTTTAGAGCTACTTTTTTTTGACTGGGGAAATACCAAGAAATTGTCTTGTTAATAAGTTATTGACATTTCGTAATTACAGTGTAGGCAGCACTAAGGGCTGGGCATTTTCTTGGAAATTTGTGTGAAAAATAGTGGAAAATCATTTGATACTGAAAACATAATAGGAAGATTTCGTGAAAGGATGTGTATTTATGAAAATAATGTAAGCTATGCATATGAGCTATGACATAATTCTATGGGAAATTTTTGCATTTTTTTCTAGAGCTCAAAGATTGTCTCCTAAGTTGGTGATAATCTTAGTTTCATGTGCTTTATTGGAAATTCTAGAAAATTTAGATTTCAGAAGACCAGAAATGTCAAAAACAGAAGGGGAGAACAACATAAAATAACAATTACCCAACATTAGAAAATTTCAGGGGGAAAACTACTTGATGGGGAAAATTTGTAAAATTTTAATCAAGTGCTTTTCCCCAGAAAATGCATATTTTGGTACGAAATCAGTGCTGATTTTGCATCAAAGATTTTTTCCCATCATGTTATTTCCCCCTTGCAAAATAAGAAGACTTTATTATTGGATGATCACAATAAAGCTAGTTTTATATATAGAATTATTAGTAGAGTCAAAGACCCCCCTTCATCCAGTCATAAGCTTGATTCATATAAAACCTAACTCAATATAGTCTCAACTATACACACATCAGCTTTAATAGCCAAATCTACACTTGCCAACAGCAACAACAACGAAAAAAACATTCACATCCCGTGAGAAAAACAAAAAAAAAATAGAAACTTACATGACGAGTTAATTGCTCGACGGATAGATTATTATGAACACGTGTTGAACCCGAGCTACCCGAACCAAGCGATGATCCACCTTTCCTGTACGCTTTTTTAATATCAACTTCAGTCGTATTAATACTATTGGGCATTGGTCGGAAGACATCCCAAAATGCTCGCTCCTGTGAGTCTAATACTTTACGTTCTAATTTATCACGTTTCTTATCAACTTTACTTTGTGCTGTGGATGAGAATTAAAATTATTGGAAGTGCTCTTAAAAGCTAATAAAATTCAGATTAATGGCTTGAAATTATGAAAGCATTAAGTTAAGCATTTAACACCTTTAATGCCAAATTATCACCAAATAATGACAAAATGCTTTCAAGTGCCACAAAGGAATCAAGTCAAGCATACCTTCAGCCTGCATAAATATAAATTCCCACTTTCGACTAAACATTTTCTGTAACTTTGCGAGATTTTCAGCTTCATAGTCGGCCAACTCCAGACGGGTCTTATTTTGCATTGTACGTTTACAAAGATAGACAGCATAATCGGTGTTCTCTGGTTCGAAGCAATTTGATGGCCAGAAGTAAGGTGTTTGAAATCGATAGAATGTATTGTCATTTTTGACCGTCAGATAGTGATCGTCCTACATGAATGTCATGTTAATTACATTATCATGATGAAAAGCAATATCAATCACGACTTACGATTGGAAATAAATAACCATGTGATGCTAATAAGTATGCGAGATGTAAAGCTTCTTGGGCGTCCTCAACATCGAGATTTTTTAATATCCAACTTATTAGGTCAGCTCCACTGAAAACTGATGGGATTTTTGACATAAATGCCTTGACAGTACGCACAGTCACTCCACCGTTTTCCGCTTGCATTCGCTCAATAATTGCTTCCATCTAAAAATATAATATTCATGTTAATTACATTCATGATTTGTCGTAATTATGAAATTTCCTTTGGGATTCGATCACAAATGACGTCAATCTAATTCTTGATTTTTTTTAAATCAACCAGACCTCTACTTCCGAGGGTAAAACAACATGATGAGAAATGGTGCTGTTTAAAAATTCTCAGGGGGAAAACAACATAATGGGAAAAAGTTCATATGGGAAATTTGAAGGACAAAACAGCTTGATAAAAAAATGGTTCATAAAGAAATTTCTTATCGATTATTTTTCCTTTATGTTGTTTCCCCCCTAAAAATAATTGTTCTTCATGATCTTTTCCCCTAAGTTCCCTCCCACCTAACAAGAAGGCAACTTTAAAAATTGACATCATTTACGAACAACCCCAATTCATTTATTCACGACGTGTGTCTAATAATAGACATCCATGAATATTTATGGAAATTGATGATTCCGTTCCACTTACTTTCTTATAGACTAATATATTCGGTGCCATTTGGTCAGAATTATTCTCATTATTTGATGACGATGATGTACTATTACCCGCTACCGTTCCTGATGATGTCGCTGTCGATGCCATTTGCTTCTTCTTCGGAGTCGCTACACAATTTGATGTCTTATCCTCCGAAGTGGTCGAAATTGTGACCATTTTCTTCGTGATTTCTGGTTTACTGTCACCCAGCTCGATATGATTGTCGCTTCGTTTCTAAACTTTCAGTAAAATTTTATAATAAATAAAAAATATGTTTCTCTTTTTTTCTTCTTCTAGTCTATTTTATGTGATTTTTATGTTGTTCTGGATGTTAGATTAGGGGGAAAAGTTAGCAGGAAGAAAGAAGAAAGAAAGAAAAAATGTAGAATGAGTTAGGAAAATTTTTATAAAGAGTTTGTGATAGATTGTGGTGCATTTTATGGATTGATACATTTGTTCTTGGTGTTTTCTTGGAGATGCTAACTGTGTCTTAAGGTTTGACTAGAAATGACGACCTTAGTCATATCACTAAGTTTAAAATCTCAACTTTTAATCATCTCAAGATTTCAAGATTGTCATGAAGTTGTAGGCATAGCTAAATCCGCAAGGAATAGGCAAGAGTATAAGCTCCTTAGTCAAATTCAAAGCATGTATAAGGAAATAGTCAAACTAAAGCTAGGTCCACATTGACCAAATAGGAGAGATCTTCAGCTAATAGGTTTAGACGACTTATGTAGAAGCTAGTTCGAATCCCATTAAATCTTACATGATCTACTAAAATAAGCACTACTGACAATTATATATTTAGTTCCACTGTCTTATACTTGTCTATAGCATTAAAAAGTCAATAATCATCCTATAAATGCATGATAAAATAAGAACACCCAAAAAGTAAGCTCTACATCATAGAAAACTCTCAAAATTCAGCCAAATAACAACCATACTCTACATTTACTCAAAATTCTAACGTTCATGTCTTTTCCTGATGTGCTGCGAATGCCCAACCCAATTTCTATTCCAACACGAAAGGTGAACTAAGGTTCAAGGCCAACAGAACATTTAATGTCATTTTGATTTCGACAGCATTAAATCTTATCAGACTGTAAATTTCCCATAGAATTGATAATCGTCAAAGTGACGTATGCATCCACAGAGAATCAATCTATAAAGTGCAAAAAATTGTAAAAATTACAAATTGAAGACATGAGAAAAAGGAGGAAGTTTAAAGTCGAAAGAAAGAAAAAAAAATCTCATGAGATGAATATTTTATGTCACATCCACATTCTGATTGTGTGTATTTTTACACCTGAATAAATTTTTCATCTACGATAAGAAGATTATCGCACCCGTGGATAGACTAATGTAAACTTTATAGTTTCGAGTGTAATTGACCTAATCTCATAACAATCTAGTCGCTATGAATGCAATTAAATGTGAAAAACTGGGAAAAAAGTTTTTCTCCTTGCTGTGTCGTCTTTTTTCCTTCCTTTCCTGATTTATCGATTTTTTTTTTCAACTTCGCCACAAATGAAACAAAAAAAAAAATTTTAATGGCACTTAATCTCGCATTACTCGATCAACAATTCACATTAATCCACTGTAATCTTCTCGTCGTTTAATCCCTCAATTAAAAATTATAGTAAACTAATTAAGTGGCTGAACTGAATCGACACAAATGATAATAATTTTATTTTCCTCTTCACTATCCGTACCTGCTTCGTCGAGCTTTTTTCACTTTATGAGAAACTTTTTGCTTCTGCTTCTTACGATTTGAGGGAAATAAAAGTTTTTTATTTCACATTTCCAATTTTCTCTCAAAAAAACTTTGTTTTTTCTCGCAGATGAGAGAAAATTATGGAAAATTGCACATTGCGCATGTCACGTGATGTACAGGTCCGGACTATAGCAAGTGATAACTCAATTGACTGGAATTTCTATGGAAAATTACTTCGTGTATCACGTAAAAGTGATATTCAATTTATTTATTTATTTTTGAGATAGATGAACACAACATTCACATGTGCTTGTATGAAGAGGATGGAATTTTGAGGCGGCAAACTGTGACAATTCAAAAGGGAATTAGAAATGATGAATATCGTGCAATTTTTAAATGTTGAAGAATCTTGTTGTATTAGAATTATGATTTTAATATTGAAGATGGAATTTTTCTACTAATTATGCTTCACAGAATAAGGGTTCTTGACAAATGTATCCAATTATGAATTTTTAAAAACGGAGAAACATCAAGAAAGGATTCTTCAGTCGGTCTTAGGATAAATATAATGATTAATGGATTTTAATGAATTTATGCTGTATTAGTTTTTAATGTTTATGGTTTTCAAGAATATTCTAAGCACAAGATATTGTATTGGGATAGAACTAAAAGTAAATGATTGTTTTACAGCCTATGAACACAGTTATGCTAAAAGTGAAAGTTTTTCAATTTTTTTTTCTAATCAAGCTTCAATTCAACTTTTGATGAATAACCTTATGGACAAAGCTAGGATATACCGGAAATGTAGGCTTTTTTTTAAAATGACTAGGGTTTTAGCACATTTTTGTATACTTGTATACAAAAAGGGAGCTTAATAATACGAAATGTTCGTTCGTTCGGCTGCTCGTTCGTCTCAAGAAAAACTTTTTAACCAGACATCGTAGAGAGCTCAGGTTTGTTTTATTAGCTCCGTTACTATTGTTTATTGTCCGATCGAACAGTTAAATATCTTGAAACAGTGTATTTATACTATAATTAATGATTTTTTTATTTCATAAACAAAACCACGTGATGAGTACGTTTAAAAAATTCAACATTACCTCTATAATTTCAAATTTTTTCTAGCCGTTGTAAAATTTGAATTTCAAAAAACCGTTAAATGATAAACTTTTCTGTATGGAAATTCATTGCAACAAATTATTAAGTATACTATAGTTATTGTTTTTGTAGTGCAACTTTTAACGGCAAAATTTTAAATTATTTATCTATATAAGCATTCATTATAATTATTTGTTAATTACACTAAAATGAATGATCTTCTAAACTTCTAATGATCTGTAAACGAACGCAAAATAATTAGATAATCATATACTGATCGCTGCGTCAAAAATGCACTTAAGTCCCTCGATCAAACAACACGAGGACTTCTGTATTTTTTTTTATAATAGGCTCAACTATGGTCCTAGAATAAAACTCCTATTATCTAGTGTAAAGTCACTAGTTTAGTAAGGTTTAGCTGCTTTAATTTATGGTATAGCTCCTGGTTTACTATAGTATTCTACTAGCATCATATATTAAAGCTTCTAGTAAACTAGGATATAGCTCCTAGGATTCAGCTTCTAATATTCTTAGATATCTACTATATATCTACTAATAAACCAATGAACTAGTATATATCTTGCTACGACTAGCATAAATCAAGAAATCTCAACAAACTTAAACCTGAATTATACCACTTCAAAACAGCCACAAGATTCCATCAACATTTTTCTCAACAGCTTTTCCGATAGTCCCATTTTCTCCTTAAGTACTCTTCACTTCCTTCTTTTCACCTCTATTTGTCAAATTTAATGTTTTTCTTTCATGTTTTATTCATCCTCACACTTTTTTTCTCTTCTCTCCTTGTCTTCTTCTTTCTCCATCTATTAAACAGCCTTTCTATGTAGCAAATATGAAACATTTCTCTTTTGCCTCTTTAACGGCAAATTATAAAGTCTTTAATTTATTCAAAAAAAAAATCTTGTTAAAGATTTGCGACCATATGAAAAAGAGATTCTTATATTTTTTTGCAGTTACTGTCATTAATTTTCGCACAACAAATTTACTTTGAAGCGTACATTTCTCTTTCCACACATGTTTCTTATGCATTCCTTCTTTCATGCGGGTTCGGAAAGTCAAAGTGAATCTGGTTAAAAAATATAAAAATTATTATTTCTTTTTTCTCACTCATCACATGCATGTGTCATCGATATCATTAATGTCTTGAAAATCGTAATTTCTTTTTTGCCGTTTTTTATTAATTTTGATGATGTTGTTGTGGGGCTGTAAATGAGACCACACACAGAATATTGTGTGAGAATTGTGATGGAAACATAATTCACATTAATTACAAAGTATCAATTTTCATGACTTTTTTTCAGCGAATTTTTACTTGGAGGAAAATTCTTTGAGGGATAATTTAGAGCAAATTTGATGTTGCGTAGCTAAAAGTTGAAGTTAGGTTGCTCAATTTTGAGGTTAAGTTGCCATATTTTAAGGTTAAGTCAAGATTAAGTTGCAATATTTTAAGCTTAAGTTTTCATGTTTTCATGGTAAATTGCACTATTTTGAGGTTAAGTTTCAAATTTTAAGGTTAAGTAACCAAATTTTGAGGTTAAGTTCCCAAATTCATTTTAAAGTTAATTTGCCTATTTTTGGAGAATATGTTGCCAAAGTTTTGAGCAACAATAAAAATTATTCTTACACAATCTAAATTAAACCAAAAACCTCCAAAAAGCATTGTAAATCACCAATAAATACAAACTAGTGCATCGGGTAGAAACCCAATGCGGATTATATTCACACCGTACCATCAAAAGTCTTATGGATAGACCAAGATTTGCCCAGTATAAGTATGAAGGTATGAAGCTTGATAAGTCAACTGAGCTTCGCTCAGCATACATTTGAAGGTCTAAAGCTTAATGAACATTCTTAAAAAGTTTTTAAAAAAAATTTTTCATCCAAAGTTGAATTTTATAAAAATCACAGTCAACTTTTGTTTTAAAAATATTCGTAAGAAAGAAAAGTTTTTTGGTATTTCTGAAGCAACGGCTGTTCCTACCTTGCCCAAAAACAATACAGCTCTTCTATTGAGCAGCACGGATCAAATGTAAAAAACTAGAAGTCTCTACGATGTCTCGTTATTGAGATTTCTTGCTGATTATCTTGCTTGTTTGCTTGCTTACAGAAAGCGTATTTTGCGATTTTCTCAGCAATGCCACAACCAATTTGAAATCCGTTTTTTGAAAATGATGTAAAATTTCAGGCACAAACTTTTCTTCTCGGACCTTTTACGACCAATTTTGTTTTGTTTTCTCACAAAATGCGAAAAACTGATTTTTCAATCTGAACAAAACCAATAGATTCACACGTGAAAACGGTGTGAATATAACAATAAATTTTTTTATTTCCAAAAATTTTAATTAAATATTCAGTCCAGCAACAAATGCGATAAATTTATTATTCAGACAAACACATAAATACACTCATAAAAAGGTCAAGAAAATGTGCATAGCTTAGCACTTAATCTTAAACTCAATTAAGAATAGTTTTCTTCTTCTTGCCTTCTACCAAAAACCTTTCTTCAAATCATTAAATTGTTGCCAGGATAATTGCTAGAAAGTCACACAAAAAAAGTATTCGATAAACAGAACAAGCGAAAAAGAAGGAATAAAAAATATTTTCTTTCGTCATGAATCTTCTTCAAACTTGCTGTGTAATAGAGAGTTTACACACAGTCGCAGATCGACCAATCATGAAAGGAGAGGAGGAGCCAAAGCAGTTCTGGTCGATGGTTGATGTTCAGGGGTTGTAAGAAAAAAATTTGTCTGAGGATTTTTTGAGATTTTTTGTTCTTAATTTTTATTTGGGTTTATAGATTTTTTTGTAGGTTAAATTATCTAACTTAGATACGACTCTTCAGAACTTAAAGATAGGGTTAGAATTTTAAAAATAATAAACATGTGTTTATCTCATTTTTTAGAAGTTTATAAGAAGAATCAGGGAAAAACGACTGGTCATAGCCTAAAGAATTCTAGGTCCGAGAGTTTCAAGTTGTATATAGACATAAGAACCATATTTCAGATATCTTACGAAACAGATAATTCTTCAATTGCTAAGTTGATCTTTGTAGTTGACAAACTGTTCAACCAATTATAAAATTTTTCTAGAAAAACGTGGGTTCAATTCCTATAATAATAATAATGTGTGAAGTCCCAGCCTTTCAGCTGGAGGCACTGCGATTCAAATTAGAACAGAATCTATTGTACCACACCCTTTAGACCTACAGTTTATAGTGGGATCCGAACCACTTGCAAGCTCTACACATTGCAAAGACACGAGTTACTAATAATGCTAGAGACAGTTTAAATTAATCCGAAATTTGCTGCGGCATTATACAACCCACAGTTAATCATTACCTAGATCGCTAGGAATCTAGACTGCTCAAAAGTATTAACTTATAATTATCGTCAAAGAAACAAGGTCCCAGATAAACCCAGTCCCAGAATTACAATAAATTTATTTTAAAGCACCAAATCCCATCCACAAAAAAATAAAAATTCAGCTCACTCTTTTAATTTCTGTTCCTTCATTCCATCCATCCTTAATATTGTATAATCCAATCCTTAACCCCTGAATCACGCATGCTGAGCATAATAAAAGTTATGGGCTGGCAAGCATAATGCATGTCATTTTTGTTAAATTCATCGCCCGTTGTGGAAGTTTCTTTCTATTTTGTCTCTCTCTCTCTCTCTCTCTCTTCTACATTCCCTCCGTTATTTTTTTGACTGTAATTGTTTCATATTTGCTTCTTCAGTATAATTTCGGTAGTCATCGATAGCACTCGCATTTCTAATAAACGTATTAGGAGAATAGAAAGAAAAAGGAAAGACAAAGAAACTGAATTAAATTAAATTAAATTACGTGTCGGTGGATCAAAAAATATTAATTTATGTGAAAAATGGAATTGAAAATGGATGAAAATTGTGAAAAGTCAAGTGACAAAAATACATCACCGGATACGCTTATTGAGACAAAATTATCAAGAATTCCAAAAGCATTTTCCATTGAAAATTTAATTGCAAAAAAGTCAAGCAATTCAGAAATAGAAAATGAATGTCCATCAGTTCCGGACGTAAATTATCAGCAGCATCGAATTCCACCAATAGCATTTCCGCAAAATTTTCCATTCTATCATCCATGGGCGGCTAATTACTTAATGTCACACACAAATGTATCGCCAGAAAATTTATTACTCAATGCCAGTGCCTGCGTTGTCAATTCTCAACAGTTGTATCAACTTCAAAATGATAAATTGGGCAATTTTGTAGACAATTCACAGCCACAGCTGCATCCGAAAGAAAAATTTACGGAGATGCTCTTTAATCCATTGAACAATTTACCGCATGACCAAAATAATCTTGCAACATATCAACAATTACTTCATCACCATCCCGACCAGGCAAACTTCTTTGCCAGTAAACTTAAGGATGCAAATTTCATTAATGAATTTTACACAAATTATTTCATGCTGGAAAATAATCGAATTATGAATTTAACAATTAATAGTGATAATAATAATGTGGTGATGAAAAGGACCAAAAAGAGTTTAAGCAATGAGAACAATAATATTAGCAGTAATAATAATTTAAGTGGGAATAATGATAATTCAAATAATAGTGATTATGATAATAATGTCAATGATAGTCATAATAAATTGATGGTGATGGATCGAAATGGAATGTATTATGAAGAAGATTCATCATATAGTGATTTAAGTGTAACCATGTCACCTGAACAGATACAAATTAGTGGACAAGATAAAGGTAATGAACTTGATGGTGTGTTCGAGAATTATTAAGAATTTTAAGACTAACCTGCTTAATTGGTACAATTGTTTGTGAGATACTTGAAGTTGTTGACACCACACTTGCTGTTTTGTTGATCATAGTTTCAGTAGGACTGGTTTAAAGAGTCTCAATGGGAGATATTAAAAAAAAATTAAAATCAATGAAAATTTATGAGGCATTCCAAAAATTGATGAATTTAAAGTTTTTTTTTAAATAGCGAGCTGATTGGAAACATAATTGATAAACGACATGTGATCTCTAGAGAATCAATGCCTTGAATAATGTCTCTGTTTAAAATTGACGTGTTCAAAAATAAATAAAAACGGATTTTTAAATTATTTTAACGAAAGAAAATCCCGACGTAGTTTACAGCAAAAATTCAAATATTTGTATTTAAAGGAACTTTAAATTTTAGAAGCTTAAGTCTGGATCTAGCATAGGTCACATCTAGCATTTTAGGAAATTAGAAAAGTATGAGAGGTTGATATCATTCAAAAAACTTGAATTTTTGGAACTTAAGCCTTAATAAATATGATTTTTCATAGCTTTTACCTCCAACATAACCATTAAGAACCATTAAGAACCAACAAAAGAATCAAAGTCAGAAAAAAGAGACTTATAGCTTTAACTTTTAAGCAAATCTATCATTTTAAAGATAAATCTTGAAAGGATATGTAAATCCTCTGTAACCGAATAAATAGAGAACAACCTGAAATCATCGGATCAACTCTCAATTGAAATCAAGTTCGCATTTATTAGGTTTAATGTTATCAATATTAAAAGAATTAGATCAATTCTCAAGACATCTGCATGACATTCAATATTCTGTAACTGATTAGAAGTTGTCATTTGTAAATGATCCTAGCTAGAACAATACGATATCAACATCACAGCTCATACAATCCAATAAAACTCTTTTAAACCTCAAAAGCCATAAATCTCAAAAAATCTAGCTTACTACATTAAAAAAACGTTAACAAGCACAAGAAAGACATTAAACTCAAAATGAAAAGCCTTGATTTACAATGATGCAATGAATTGGCACTAAAAAGATGCTCATTGGAAGACTGGAATTGAAAATTTTCTGAGCTTGCTAGACAAGATTTTAATCAACCTAAATATGATTTCAATTCTTCTCGACTCTCAAGCTTGAGAGAACATTATTAGACATAAAAAGATCGTTTCTTATCTTCCATTAACGAGCCTGATGACATGAAAAGGGATGGAATGAAATAAAAGTTAAAAAAAAGGCGATGAAAGAAGACAGAAGAAAAAAACAAGAAACATAATTTGATGAATCTACAAAATGTAATTGTGAAATATCATCCATTCATGTACGTACTTTACTCGTTCATTCATTCATGTATGAATATCACATAAAAATAGCTGAGTGACGATGATATTGCTAATGTTACTACATTTACAATTGTTGAAAGCTGGATCAGCATAATTATCATTATTTTAAATTTTTAATGCATCATTTTCACACGCCATTCAGCAGTTCTTTTTTTATTATTATTATTGGCTCGTGATTCGTCGTCTCTTTTTGTTGTACTGGATGTTGTTGAGTTATTGAATTTAATTAATTTTGACATGGAATATTGAAATGTTGTAGATGAATAATTGATATAAGGTTAATTTAATTTGTTGGGTTTTTACTTTTATTGTAAATTGAGTGAATTATGAAAGTGATTGGAAAGATGTTAATTCGGTAGATAGTGATTATCAGCGGTTTTAAGGGTTTTTACTTCGATAATCTATGTGAACTGAAGTGGCTCGGTGGTGGAATGGTTTAGTACTTCGGTACCTAATTATTGCAATACTGAAACAGCGATCATGGGTTCGAGACTCGGCATGGGAAATTTTTCACTTGTCCTTTTTCGATTCATATTTACTCGAAATGAGACTCACAGAATTACTTTATAGGCTACAGGCATAAATGTCATCAGAAGAGTGGTTCGGATCCCACTGAAAACTGTAGGTCTATAATATTTATAAGATTTAATTGCGACTTTTCAAATAGCTTCAGATTCAAAAAATCAGATTCTGATATAAGCTTCTTTGGAATCTATGACAATTATCCTTATAGTCGAATAGCCCTCGATCTCCGATGTGGGAGATTAAAATCAAAAATTAAAGTACGTGGTTTTGAGTCCTATTTTGATTAAGTTACTTAAAGATTTTACATTATGTAAGTAAGTCATCTAGTGCAGTTTTTCACAAACAATGATCCTTGACACAGTCTTTTGAGATCTAAGATCACTCTTTTAGGGGCCGTTCACTTATGACGGCACTTATTAATGGTCATTTTTCAGAAAAGAACAATGGATTTCCCGGAATTTCTATTGTTCTTTTTTTGTTGATCCCCCCCCCCCCCTACACTGATGTACCCCATTTAACCGTCAACTATTTTGAATAAATATTTACCCATCGATTTAGCGACAACATCAATTTAATTGCAATCAATTTCCGTGAGAAAAAGTCAAAATAATCCTTAGACTAGATAATAAACCAGCATGAAGATTGACTCCCTGCTTCTTTATTCAGTTACATAACTCTTTATAATCCTCACTAAATCTCTCTTTGCCTTTCTACTTCCTTATTTTTTTATTTTGTGTCAAAAAATGCTCTTCCTTGACTTTTGTACATTCTGTAATCATGACAAAAGCAACAAAGGGATGATGATGCGAAAAAAAATAATAATAATCCTCACTTAATCTCTCAATTTATTGCAACCACATAATTGCTACAACACCAATCGTTACCCTAACAATCACAAAGTGACTTTGTGGATTTAAGCAGCTTATATAAACAATAGAACAAAAATTACGTTGGTGGGAAACAAAAATTCAATCAATTAATTTATGCAATTGCATGTCCAATACTTTTTATCCTAGATTTATGTAATACAGAATCAGAATGCTCGGATAACGACGATGAATGTGATGATGACGAGGAAAATATGGAAAATTCGAGTGAGAATGGACAGAAATCAGGAGCTAAGTCGAGGAGACGAAGGACGGCATTTACGAGTGAGCAGCTGCTGGAATTAGAAAGAGAATTTCACGCTAAAAAGTATTTAAGTCTAACGGAAAGAAGTCAGATTGCGACAAGCTTGAAATTGAGTGAAGTGCAGGTAAGGAATTGAATTTGTAGATTTTTAAGATCCAATTTTAACAAAATATTCATTTTTCCTGCTGTTCTAGATCAAAATTTGGGTAAGTTCTGAATATTTTAACATAAAATTTAACAATAAAGCTAATAACCTCGAATTTTTCATTTTTCTGTTTCCATCCAACAACTTTAGTTCCAAAACAGACGAGCAAAATGTAAGTTCAATTTCCAAACCTTTAAATTCCCCAAACTTACCTTAAATCTATTACAGGGAAGCGAGTAAAAGCCGGTCTAACGTCACACAACATGGGAAATCGAGGAACACAATCGACGGGAAATAAAATTGTTGTGCCTATTCCTGTTCACGTTAATCGATTTGCGATACGTCATCAGCATCAAACAATGGAGAAATTGAGTCTTTGTGGACCAAAGCCGGAACTGAGGACGGCATCGAATGTTGATAGCAGTTGCTTTGAAAGTTTTAAGATGCAGAAGGCGACGAAGCAGTTTTCGTAGAGTTGAGGTGTGATTTGAAGATTAGCTAAGAGGCAGCCATATGAAATCCAAACAGAATCAAGTGTCGCTCGGGATTTTAACCTCAAAAAAAATTCTGATTTTAATTACTTAAAAGTCAATTTAATTAAAATTTTAAAATCTTTAAACTGTGTCTTTATTGTGTAAATTAATTAAAATTAAATGCAACATCAGAGCAATAGCAAAAACACTTTAATTTCGGATGACAATTTAGAATAAATCTATATATTTTAAAATAATAAAAATTAGACTGTAAAAAATTCTTCACACTTTCACTTTCTGTAAATTCATAAAAAAAGGTGTTTTAAAAATGGAATAAAGGACAATTCTATATTTCTGAAGTACAAGATGAATCCATAAGTGTGTCCGATTTTTATTTTTGTGTGTTTTACTCTTCGTCCTCACCCCTCAATTTGTCTTCATCAATTGCAATTTGCTGTGTTAAAGGAAACAATAATTATCCAATTGGATTCGCTTCTTGAAAATCCGATTGCCTTTTTGTGTATGTTTAAATGCTCTCATTGTGCACAAGGGTGACAATCAGAGTTTGAAAATAAAATGAAAATTGCTCTATTTTGAAAATAAATCAAAATGAAAATAATGAAAATTGCCAATTTTGATCAAAGCAATTTTGCAATTTTGTCAATTTCAGAAAATTGCAATTTTGGAAATTGTTTATTTTCCAAAATTGCAATTTTGGAAATTATCAATTTTTATTTTTGTGACGTCATAAATATTTGATGAATAATTTTGTATGAAAATTTTCTTCTTTTTAAATGAATTTTTTCTTCAGAAAAACAAAAGATACAGTTTATTTCCTGGATGTTGATATTCGTTTTTAACTTAATACTTGCTAATTCCTGCGTGTTTGATGCGTTGTTCCTTTAAGTTTATTTTAAATTAAAGGTACTCATAATGCTGCATCACCATACAGACATGATTATCAAAAAAAAAAATTCATTTCTGAAAATGTATGAAAAACATGTTCGATGTAAATTTTATTAGGGGAGAGGAACTGCTGAATTTTCCGAACTTTTTTGCTAACCTGATTTTTTGGAACCTCCCTGGTATAGTTAGCACCTAAAATCAGATCTGGAAGTAGAGGAAGTGCCTGGTTCCACCCTATGCCTGAAAGTGTCTAAAAAGTATAGAAAACAAATAAAAATTTTTTTGGCAGTTCCAGTCAGTTGGACATAACCAGTTCCATATGGGATATCTCATATAGCATAGTACTTATGATTCGTTATTAATTTTCATCATTTGCTGCTATGATTGCTGATAATGGTTTTGATTAAAAATTAAGGAAAGTCTCAAGCATAAAGTCATCAATTCATATGAAAATTTTCATACAAAATTCCCGAAGAAATTTTGTGACGTCACAAAATTGAAAATTGATAATTTCCAAAATTGCAATTTTCGAAAATAAACAATTTCCAAAATAACAATTTTCTGAAATTGACAAAATGGCAAAATTGCTTTGATCAAAATTGGCAATTTTCATTATTTTCATTTTGATTTATTTTCAAAATAGAGCAATTTTCATTTTATTTTCAAACTCTGGTGACAATTCATGTATCGTTAATCTAATTTTTAAAATGTGCTAACAATTTTTGATTCCTTGGCACTTTTTTTCAGGACGATTGAGTTGATGTGATTGACATTTTGGCATGCAGTTAAGTGAGTTGTCCTTCAAAATGTTGTCGGAGTGATTTTTTAGGTTTGACAAGAATGATTTGTTGCTGTAAATATATTAATTCATACTAGTTCTGTTCTTATTGCTGCTGAGAACTCCATTTGATGCTTAATCCCGATTTGATCTAATCAACTCTAAGTTAATTGACAAAATTCTTCAAAACATCGAAAAAATGCGCCTTATGCACCTCCTCATCATCCTCAAAAAGTCAACAACCAAATAAATTCTTCACACACAGATCCTCGATTACAAGCAATTTCATGCCATCTCAATTGTAACTGTAACGTGTGTGGACGCTCATTTTTCCTTTAAATGAATGACACATTCAGTAAAAGGTGCAATTAGAAACGCATTTTTAACATTTTGTGTGTGTAGAAAATTTCATTGACACCAGGGGCGTAGCCAGAAAATTTTTAAGGGGGGGGCCCATTTTCGAAAATTAAAAAACCGTTATTTTGTATCCTTAAATCTATATTCATTCTTCATAAGTTTAAATATTGAATTCATTATTCATATATTAAATTTAATTTTTCGTGCTGATTTTGAAATTTCTTTCATCATTTCCTCTACATTAACTGGTTCTTCTCTATAAATACTTAATAAAACAATTATCAGATTTTCGTAAGGAGGGGCCCGGGCCCCCTATGGCCCCCCCTGGCTACGCCCCTGATTGACACATAAATTCTCGTCTTGTTCTGAAAAAAAAAGAACAAACGAGACATACGAGAATAATTTTTCAAAAATTAAGGCTTTCTCTTTGTAATAATTTTTCAAAGGTGCTACACGCCCTGAAATTTTTATTTCTACTGCCTAAAAATTTAAAATTTTCTTTATTTTTATTCTGTTCATCACCCTTTAAATCAGACACAACAAAAGGATGAAAAAAAGTCTTTTAATTTGTTTTTATTTAATTAACCCTCATAATAATGAAAATGGATGTGATTTAAATCTTTTTGTCATTATTCATAATTTTTTTTTGTTGCTTCTGTTACTGCATATGTGCCAATAAAATGTTATGTTAACATTTATGATCAAATTTTTGGGTGTGAATGCTCAATTTATAGTTTAAATGCTTTTATGAATTTTTATTGAATTTTTGTGTGATTTAAGAATTTTTTGCAATTTCGTGCATTATTTTGATGAGATATGGACATAGCATGTGATTAACAGTTAGATGTTTGGCGATAAAACTTATTATACTTATAAAACGAATTTAGAAATGTTTTAGGAATTAAAAAACCTTTGTCTGTTCAGTTCAATTCTGATCCGGAATTTGAAGCTAAATGGTAGTTTTAGCAATAGAGCGTGCGCCAAACCACTGCACTCAAATCTAGACCTACAGTTTATAGTGGGATCCTAACCACTCCTTTAATGATATTTCTGTCTGTAAATTTCAAAAGAAGGAAAAGAAGCAATATAATCCTGCTGAGTCTCGAACTTGTTGCGACTTTTGAAAGTCATAGGAATAAAATTCAGTTACTGTACCACTGAGCTATTCTGACTTACACGTCATTATTCAGATTCGCTCAATACATTAATCAGTGTTGTCCAAACTGTGTACCACGGCAAAATAGAATTTTTTGAAAATACCACGAACCGAACGCCTTGTGCGATTTTTGACATGGCTTACTTTCAAATTTCAGGTTCCATGGCTAGTTAAGACTAGTTCTGACTTTATTAAACTCCTTAAGCTTCATTTATGCAACTTTTCTTGTTATTGCTTAAATAAGCACGCCGATCAAATCATAAAACATTAACTTGAATCAGCCAAGAATCAAAAATAAACGATTAACAAGATTCCAAAATCTAGACCAAAGAATAAATGCACAATTCCATTAAAATATCAGTTCCTTAATTAAAACTTTCATAAATCTCACTTCCAATCAGCATTAACCCTGAGAAATCCCAAGAGAATTTCAATAGCACCAACGATTCAATCCCCGTAGATAAACCTCATTAGACTCACCATGAAATGAAAAACCAACAAACAAATTTTTACTCTCAATATGTTCAATTAAGGAACACAAGATCATGCACACACAGAGAGTTTATTTTTATTTTTATGACACCATAATTTGCTGACTTTTTTAAAAAAAAATAAATCCGTTTATAAATTTTCCCCTAATTGCATTCAATCACCCTTCAGATTTCATTCACGTCCATATACATGCACACATGTAGAATATTCAACTGAATGAGGAAAAAAAAGTAATTTCTTGTCATTTAATTTTAACAATAACTAATGACTTCTGTATGAATTTTTATTTCAGTCTTCTGTTGTTACTGCTGTTTGAAACACGCCCATGACTTTTTTTTTAATTTCTTACTTTAACTGTTTGCCGTATGAAAAGATTTTTATGTGATCCGTTTTGCTGATGGTGATGATTTTGAGATGAGAAGTAAGAAAGAAAAAGATTTTTTACTTTTATGATTCTTGTTCTGCTACCCTTCAATCTTTGTGAAGTCTGAAAGAAAGCCAACACATGTTTTTGTGCATTATCTTTTTTGTTGGTAAGATTCTTTGATGGATGCTCATTAAGATGATGGAAATATTTCAACAAATTAGCTTTCATAGTTTGCTGATAATTTTAGATCAACGGGGTTTTATTTTGGGATTTTTTTTTAAAGAAACATCGTTGATGCTTTTATTTTTAAGGAATAGACAGAGTTGGAGAGGATAAAGATTTAACATTCAACTAAAATGTAGCTGGATGTGTGCAAATAGATTTAGTCTCTTGTGATGTAAGTCCTAGGGATATCTAAAAGATTAATAAACATTTTCTGTGAATAGATTAGGATCTTTCGCGTTGAATCCTAAAGACAGCTCTTGATTGGAATCTAGTTATCAAGTCAAATTAGCTTAAATGCCCCGGTGCAAGATTAAGACCTCTGTTATCGAACGATAGCGATAGAGCCAATTTTAAGTGGAATCTTAGGGAGACCATGGATCACAATTAATTAATCAGTACGGTCATCGAATTAAGTAAGTAAGTGATCGAATGGTAAAGCAGTAGACCCGAAATACCATGATTTACTATAGCCCAATATTTTGTGTAGACGTGAGTTTGATTCCCATTAGAAACAAATTTTTCTATATTTGCATAAACTTTTATCAATTTCACTAAGGTCAAACCTTGACTTGTATGGTAACCAGAGTTGCAATCTGTAGCTTGCCTAACACACGCAATAATCTTTTTGGCAACTACCAACAGGCATTTTGACAAGCAGTGTCTGTGACAGATCTATCACCTGTGCCTGTTGACAGGCGACCTGTCTTGAAACTCTGATGGTAAGCAAGGCTTTCTTGAAAAATACTCTAAAATTCAAAAAATGTGATGGGGGTCCATGGTTTGAAAATGTGTTTTGTTCCAGACAAAACCTGTTCAAATCGAATTGTTTAAAGTTTGTATAGAAAATTCCCGTTACAAAATATTCCATTTATTAATTTATACAATTCAAATCGAATAGAGTCTATTTAAATCGTAAATCCTAGTACTAGTTAAAAACTCCTAAATCTATCCTGTTTATGAAATCTCAATTTTTTTTTAACTTTGCAATTTTCAAACTTATTCATTTCCTCAAACTTTCTATCTTTCACTCATCCCAGATTTATTTTCCTAAATTGCCAATCAATCATATTTTGTTCATAAGCAATTTGTCATACGGGGCTAATAAAGGAAATTAGGAATAATGGTACTTGAAATCTTTTAATAAGCTAATCCATCAAAATAGTCTCTAACAATTTCTTTTGTCCAAAATACTTATTTTGGATGTAATCAAAATCGAGGAACGGTAGTTTCAATTTATTTTGTCTCTCAACAACTTCATCAATATGCATTCATTCATGAATAAAAAAAATAAAAATAACAGAATTGTTAAATGAAAATGTCCAAATATTGACGCAGCCTGAATGTTTAATTCGATTCATCATTGAATCAACTCGAGAGAGTCACAATTAAAATGTTGAAGTCCGGTAGTGTCGGAAAAAGATGAATTGACAATCGAATTTTTGAATAATCTTAGATGGAGGTCTCTTCGACGAAATTATTATTTATTGTTATTAGATTGTTGTCGCGAGCATTTTAAATTAATCGATTTTAATTCAATAGAAAATCGTCTGGAGACAGAATTCCTAGAACATTCGCTGTTAGAATTGTTGTTCTTTTAAAAAGAAGGAAATTTGAGATTTTGTTTTTGTTGGTTTGCAGTTCATCAATATGCTAAGTGATTAATGTATGTTTTTGATTTTTATGAATGATTGTTATGGGTGGGACAGTGTCAGTATGTCGACATGGCTACCAAATAAATTGCATTAAAGATAATGACTTGATTGTGTCACTACATTGTATTGACAGAAAGAAATCTCGGGAATTTCGCAATATTACTCTGATACAGTTCGATTCCTAGTTGTTTATAGTTCTTGATTTATTTTACAATAAATTATTGATGAATAATTAATAATTGATAGGATCTAGCAGGGGCGTAGCCAGGAAATTGAAGAAGGGGGGGGGGGGGGGTGGTATTTTTCGAGTTTTTCATAAAAACTCTAGCAAAATGAAGAAATTCCTCAAGACGAAGGAGGATTTGTTCCCTAAATCCACCCCCTGGCTACGCGCCTGGTATGTAGAATGCACTATAACATCTCATTCTTATTCTCATGTCAGTAAATTTATTTAAGTTTGTGTTTTTAAAATCAGGAGCAATTTCATAATTTAATCAGTGCAATTTCAACTTTATAGCTGTGCATTTAAAAGCAACTCATCAACCATGTTGCTTCAAATAGTTTTTATTATCGCTATGACTTTAAATGAAGTTTTTGGTGCTAAAATATCGTCAGTGAACTTTGAAGAACATTTTTACCAATGCGGTGTCATGAGTGCATCATCGGGTCTCATACAAGGTGGCTTCTACTCAAAACAAGATCAATTTCCATGGATTGCAATTATTTCGATCAAAAATGAGTCAAACAGCCTTTGGGATCATAATGGATCAGGGAGCTTAGTATCAAGACGACATGTTCTCGTGAAATCTTTTTATGTGTCAACACTAGACGATAATAATCAATATGTGCCTATATCAACAGAAAATGTTCAAATTTTCCTCGGAACAACTACATACAATAACTTGAATCAGGAAGGATCCATCAAAATTGGAGTAAATAACATCAGGTTATATCCACATACAAGAAAAGTAGCACGTGGCTTTAGTGTGTTTAATTTTGCGATTCTTACATTAGAAGACGATGTAACCTTCAATGACTTTATAAAACCAGTTTGCTTATGGAATAACCAACTTAACTCTAGAATGTATACTGGACAGCAATTGATGGCTGTTGGATATGGAAGAGATTTAACTGGACGAATCAGTAAGATCAGAAAACACGTTCCAGTGCAAGTGACTAGCTCTGATGAATGTGAAACAGAATATATTGACTTACTTCCTCAAATTAAGGAATCAAGATTTTTCTGCATTAAGGAAATTGTAAAAGATCATGGACCATGCAAATTTGACACTCAACTTTATGTCAAAATTGACTCCACTTGGTATTTAAAAGGAGAAATGATTGCAGCTAGGACAGATATTAATACTTTGCAGTGCTATTCTAAATTTCCTGTTGCTGTTGAGGATATTTCACCTTATGTTGACTGGATTGATCAAGAAATTAAGACTGAACTCATTGAAATTTATGTTAGTGATCAAAAAGATGGAGCTATTGAAGTTATTGATGTAGAAAAGATTGTTAAATATCAAATAGAATAAAGAAGGTTTACCTTAACGCTTATAAACATTTAATTAATTATCATTTTAATAAGACTTTAAGAATCTGTCAGTATGATACGAAGTTCCTTGGAGATGAATCGTTAAATAATTTTTGAGGGCATGAGATCGATTCCCACTAAAACTTTACCCCTCAATTTTTACCAAACCTTATTTCCAGCTCCACTTTATGCAATGTTCTAAATCAATAGCAAACTAATTAATCACACCATTTCTAGTTCTTATAATGAACCGATTCACACAATATTCCATCAACTAATTGCAATTAATTCACATCACACAACTCAGTCGCATCAAAATTCATTAATTCAATCGCTTCACGCTTGTTCTCTTCTCCTTAATTCACTGAATCAATTTCCATCCAACACCAACAAAAAGTGATTTCACTTGAATGCCGCCTTTTTGTGTTGAAAAAGAAGAGAATTTTGCCGCTAATTAATTATGCAATCCAAGTGACAATATGATGAAGAGATCTTTTAAGTTGAAATGAATTAACATCCTGAACATATGCACAAAAGATTGTTTGTTCTTCTTATTAAGCTACATCTTTATTATTTTCTTTTGTATGAATTTTTATTTTTGGCTGTTTAGAGTTTCGTGTTTGATAAAGATTGAGTATGTTATGGAATTAATGTTTGTCAACTAGGACGCATTTAGTATTAATAGTCAAAATAGTTTAAAACGTAAAGTGCTAATCACAGAATCATCATTCGATTAGATCACGCAATTGCTATCAACAAATAGATTCTAAAATTCAGAAGTAAATCCACAAAACATCTCAATCTAAAACTACACAAACACATCATCATTCAATCCAAAAAGATGTATCCAAGAAAAAGAAGAAGCAATTGTTTAATTTTGATACGCAAAACAATTAAGACTCAAAATTATGCAAGGAAAAGATTTTAATGCGGAAAATTTCCTTTTGTTCAGCTAAAGTAACAACAAAAGAGAGCAAAAAGAATCAGAAGTAAAATATTTTGTAATGTTTGTGATTGAAACAAAGCATGAAATGACACTAAACTAACTGAAACTTAATGCATGTTTGAAATTTAAGCAATAATTAAAATGTAAATGAGGAATAAGAAGTTTGTGTGAAGAAAATGTGAACTTTTAGAATTCAACGTTACTGGATGTAGATTTATGGGAAGTTTACAGTCTGAAATCAATGATTTTGCCTACTTTAAGGCTTTAAATCCTCAACAATCTCATTCCAACATTAATTTTCATGACCAAACTCCTCACAACCTTAAAACCTCAATTTATCCACAAATTGCAACATTTTCTCAAACATTCTCTGCTTAACGTTCCTTAAATCCACTCAAAATTGCTTTTTTGCTTCGCTGTACATATTTCTGTATCATGTTTCTGATTCTCATTTTCATCTATTGCCGCCCACAATTTTCACAACATAAAACTCTACGTCAATGGATGGATGCTGAAAGCAAACGGACGGGATTATTTTTTATGAGACTCGTGGTGACTAAAAATGGAAACAAATTAAGTGAAATTTTACTGTCTTCGCCCTAAAATGAGATTAAAAATATTTTTTGTGCTGTTTTTTGAAGATAATGGATGGAGAAGTGAGACTTTTTGGCTAGATGACTGCAATATCTGTATTGACACAAAAGTCAAAGGTCCGAAATAACTCTTGGCGAGCTAATATGTTCCAGATTGATCAAACATATTTGTAGGTGCAGTCTTTAGGTTTTGAGCAACAAAGACGTCAAGTGGACCTGATGTAAGAATTACTTGCACAAAAATCTGTAAGGGCATCATCTAATCTGATAAGAATACTTAAAAATGCTGCAAACACGGATACTAAGTTGGTTGTCTACTTAGAACCAAGTTATATTTATATTGACAATTGTAATTTAGATCAAAGCTACGACCTCGTGGTCCACTCAAAAGACTGGATTGAGTAAGCTGTAGGTATGTCGATGTATGCTTAGCAAGCAGGTGCGTAGCCAGGAGGGTCTTGTTCTCCCCCCCCCCCCCCCCTTAAGCGTTTTGAAACGCAGCGGGAGCACAGCCTAAAACGCTTAAGGGGGAAGACAAGACCCTCCTGGCTACGCGCCTGCTAGCATGGTAAGCACATGCTTTGCAAAAGACTAAAGTATGATGCTAAATTACTCGATTGATGAAATAACAAAGGAACTGACAACTTAACCCGACCTGGGATTGATACTAAAATAATCTTAGAACCGTTTATCACACAGATTGAGAACCCCTGCAATATGCGCTTCAATCAACTCCAACCTCGACTTTATATCCTCTAAAACAATTTTCTAGTAACAACAACTTAATAAAGCAATGATAATGATAGTGATAAAAATGATCTTTTCAGCAGAGAAAGTGAAATAAATAAAAAAAAAGTCATTGAGCCATCGACCAAAGTTCCTCGCACTTTAGCACCACCCACAAAAATAAATTGTGGCAGAAAATTTTGTGATTTTATTACTTATTTATACTGAGTCATTTGCTTTAAGGGATATGATGGAAAGTGACGATGTTAAGAGAATATGGGAGATGACATTGAGGTCAATATTGAGCACTGTACATGATTTCTTTTTTTTTTTATCGATTGTGGTGACTTTTTTATGACTTTTAATGCTGAGCATGCAATTCCATTGAGCATTGCTTTGTGTATACAATTTAAAAGTCATAAATCATTGAGAGGAAGAGACACAAAGAGCAGTGCAATATTGAAGATTCTGGTGAGCGTATGTGGTTGCAGAAATTTATTAATAACTTCCTTAGAACCACACCCAGAAAATAGTGAATAAATTATAAATGAATTAGATTTTCATTTCTTCGTTCCTTTCTTTCTTTTTTGTGTGTCATTCAAAGTCTTTCATGTCATTCTTTCGGGTTTTTTTAAAAAAATAAATCCTTATTGTCGAGGAAGAAGTTCTTAATGGATAAATCTGTTGTGAATTTAGTCAATGATACTTATTCATTCGTGAATTAATTTTTGAATACACATGACATCTGAAAATCGGTTGATTCTCGGTGGAGTTTGTTGACATGCATCAAGGGATTTTAGAATGATAAAGAGCAATTTGCAGATGCTTATTGAAATTTTCTTATTTAACAAAAATAATGATTTACACTCTTTTTGAAAATAATATTTATAGAGAACAAGAATATGAAGTTCTTTACAGAATTGCTGATTTTTAAGACTTGGACAAAGCAGAGCCGTTCTTAGAAAATTTTACGGAGTGTGAAAAAATTCATTTTTTTACTGCAACCTTTGCTATAATTATTAAAGTTTCTTTGGACCGCAAATTATTGAATTTTTCAGCTCCAAAACTTAGACATTTGAAGGTTAGAATCTAAATAGAATATTGTTATGGTTAAGTTTTGGAGCTTAAAAGTTGAAATTTTGTGTTCTAATGAAACGTTAATTGAATTTAGCTGTAGAATTGGATTTGGATTTAACCTTTAGTATGTAGCTTAATAAGCAGTTAAGTGCCTTGCTGGTCGAATAGGTAAGGCGCTTGGCTCAAATTTGGGATGGTAACTCGAAGGCCGTCGGTTCGAATCCAGCCATTTCCAAATTTGTTCTTTTTCGGAAGTTTAGATACTTCGACTGCTTAATGTACGAGATCAAGCCATAATTGGGCATTTGGGCAACGTTGGATTAAGGAACGGGTCAGGAACTTGAAGTGTAGCGGGAGAAATAGGAACGAGAGCTACAAGATTACCCACGAATGGAATATTGATAGAACGGACCTGAAAAGTATCACGTAACGCCTACAGAAGATCGAAACGAGAGCCTTAGTTTATTTGAAACCTAGATATGAAGATTAAAAGTTTGATCCTACATAATACTAATTTATATGTATACAAATACAAAAGTGTAAAATGTGAATTATTTCCGGACAGTATTTCGTCAATAAATGCAATAAAAAAAAAATAAAGTATCACATTTTAAAATGAGGAAATGAGTTCGATAAATAAATATCAAAACTAATAAGGGGTCATTTGCAAATTGCCCCAAGTTTAAAAAAAACAAAATCTTCTTTTCACCACCCACCCCCCCCCCCCCCCCCACCTCGCTAAAAAGCGTGACGTTATTTTCAAACGATCCCTAATGTTAAGAATCAAACATTAAATGGAGCTCACTTATTAAGTAATTATTATTTTGACAAAAGTCGGAGAGATTTAAAAAATTCAAATTTTCGCATTCCGTAATAAGTGAACGACCCCAATAGACAGCATCTAACAAAGCATGTCCAAAAGTAAATGAAAATTTATGAGACAATGCCGATCACAAATCAAAATTCAGTTACAGATTTCGCTAAAATTAAACATTTAATCCTTAAAAATATCCCTCACCCTCCCATGCATCCAGTTCTCTATGTCACTCGCTTTCATATTCATTGAAAATCATTTCAGTTACGCCTCTCATAAAATTATGAAGAGAAAAAAAAAATCTTCTGACATGGAAATAACATTTAACAACACATTTCATAATTCCTCTCTATTGCTGCTCATGCTGATGTCTATTGTTGTGAAAATTAATATTTCATCTATGAAAAAATTTGTTCCTGCATGTTACTTTATGATTGCTATATGTTTTTATGTCGCACGAGACTCATGAATAAATTTTTAGTGCAATTTTAGAAGATTTTTGCGTTTGCCATTTGAGGGTTGATTTTGTGACAAGGAAGAAAATATTTTTTTTTTTTATTATTCACCCCCTTATCATTTCAGATATAAATATCCACATCATAAAATGTATATATTTCAATTGTCGTGAATCTAAAAGGATGTGGAAAATCAAAAGCAAATTAATTTTTGAGTAAAGTGAGCATTAAGTTGGAAAAATTGTTATCGTTGATGTGGCTTTTGTATTATGAATGACTAAATGAGTAAGTAAACAATATGAACGGAGTCAAGGGGTGGTGATTTTGTGATAATCGGAGTGTATTTGAGTTGGGTGATGTCATTGGTAGTTACTGATTTGGAGATTTGATGTTGAAAAATTTAACGGTTTAAAAATTATTCGA